TTAAGAATGAAAGAGGATACATAATTTTGGTTCTTTTAGACCAAAGCAATGTTCCATATATGTAAAAAAAAAGTCTCAGAAACAAATAAACAGAAAAAAGTAAAAATAAAGCAGTATTTTTTTTGTAGAAAATGATGAACTGGATCTTCAGTCTCGATTCAAAATTGAAAAGCGGGAGGTAGTGAATAGGCCGGCATACATACACGTTATTTCGCGCGGTTTATCGTGTCATCTGCAAAAACCTGTGAAAAATCATGTGCGTGAGTGAGGAGGGCTACACGCAATGATAGAATGGGAAGGGATTTCAGACTTGCTTTTATCTGGAATGTGACGTCAGTACTCAAGTACATGATGTGCAGTTCACAACCATGTGAACTATCACGTTGAAAATTAGTACATGACAACATGCACTTCCAAACGACACGTTTCTAACTGATATGCCGCGCGTAATCACGTGCAAAATCATTTGAATACTTTGTCAAGTGTATGGAATATGACGCTTTTTTTCCACGCCGTTCTTTCGCGCGTGCAAACCGCTACATCCCAACACGCCACGATAAACCGCACGAAATAACGTGTGTGTATGCCGACCTAATATACCACAATAAACCGCGCGAAATAACGTGTATGTATGCCGGCCTAATGAGAGAAAGTGGAGCTTGGCAGAGAACTCTTGGAACTCAAACCGGTCCTTGTTTCTAATATCTTTCCGATGCCTAATTTATGGGTTCATCTTCAGGTTCAGCAACTTGGTGATGCTCAATTTTTCCATACATTCATATTTGATGTTTCCGCAGAATGATTCTCTAAAATCTTTTTGGTATCTTAATTCTCTAGCTAGCGGAATAATTCCGCAGATGCCGCAAAGTTACGGCCCATTTATATCCCTCCTAGCTTTTTCCGCACCCTATCTCCTTTCGAGTAATATTAACTCGTCGGCGGGGGTCAACACGTAAAATCAATTTATGTTGCCGAGTTCCTCGAAGGTGAGAATCGTTTTATTTTTATTTATTCATCCGGATTCGGAGTCTTAATTTGTACGAATCTCTGGAAATAAATCAAGCGCTCAGCCCAAATGTCGTTAATCATCAAAGATAGTTTACGATGACATATTATTGCCCGGCTATCAAGCCCTATAGAATTATGTGCAATTGTGTCAATAACGCAATTGATTTTTTTTCCATTGTGTTCGTCCATATTTATTCAGTATAAACAAACATTTGTGCATTGGCAATAAATGGAATTGCGTTGTTTTTTCAAGGGGCTTTCAATTGCCGGACAAAAAAAATGAAATTCTCCCATTGTCTCACCCGAATAAATTCGCGGCAAGATCGATTGTTTTTAATTAGCGCTTCAGACAAGAGTGAATAGATTATTGCTCGGTAGACTGTTAATTGTTCCTTCTCTCTTTCTCTCGATGACACTTAAAATTTGCTTGGCTAATAAATTGGTCCAATTTAAAAAGATAGCCCGAGGAGGGCACATTTAATATATATTGTGGTAATTTTTCTCTTCTTTCTTGACAGAGGTTAAAAAAAAGTTGTCTTTGTTACTAGTTAATGACCGAATGGACATCTCGGAACGCTTTGTTCCAGAGCTGTACGACCAATTAAACACGAATATTTTCTCTGTCTTTTGTTGTATATTTTTGCCAGGATCTAATTGGAGCAGCTATTAGTTTATTGCAAATGACAGTGGAACAAGGCTTTTTAATTAATTGAAATTTTGTCTCTAGAAGCAGAAGTTTCTTACAAATCTTCTTATTTCTTTTGCTCATATTGTCACAACTGCCCGCTTTACGGGGGTGACATGGGGCATTTGTAACTTTGGGAGTTGATGGAGAGAAACTCGCTCAAGTTGTATAAAAGTGTAGATATTTTCGCAGATATGCCCTTACATAATACGCATCATTGGAGTTGCCGTTTCATCAATATAGACTCAATGCCATCAATGTTTGCTCTACGTAGAACTTTGGAGTTTCTTATAACAGGTCTGGCAAGTCAACATCTTGCAAGCTAATGTCAATGCAATGGAATGAAATGTCTAGAAATAGTCTGAGGTTGAATAGAGAACCCTGTTCCACCTCCAGCATGAAGCGGTGGAAATTCTGGAGGTGGAACAAATAGTTTTCGTTCTCTATTCAACCTAAGACTTTTTCTAGACATTTCATTCTATCGCATTGAAATTAACATGTAAGATGTTCACTTGCCAGAAAGGTATAGTGAGTCTACTTTATAGTCAGTATTGATCTAAGACATCTCAAGTGAAATTGGTCAAGTTTGAAAACGTGCCATCTGTATAGAATCCATGATTCTGATCCATACGAAAGACTGTTGCACGGTACACTTCTATCTAGGTTCCATAACTAACGTCATGATATTTAAGAAGGACCAGAATGCCTGCGCAATTCCAGTATCCATATCAGCGTTTACCCTTGCATCTGGTGTTATGATACTCAAAGCGACTCACTTGCTCCAACTTTGTGACGTCAATATGGATGTTCATTTGAGCTGGAAGTTCATGTGCATTCTACGAAGTTTGCTGTTTGAGGGATGTTTATTTTACGTCCAAGATTGTTATACATTTCATTTAAACGATGAACGCATTCTCGCAAAGTCTCTAAAGAGTTGGCAATAATACACACATCGTCAACAATTATGCGTAAGAGTTTCACCTTAGACCTTAGACAGAGCCTTAAAAAAAAAAGATTTGTTAGGCCGTTTTGTTACAATAGCAATTCTCATTACCATACAGAAGAATAAAGCAAACAGCGACGGTGCCAACACACATCCCTGCTTTACACCACTGGTAACCTCAAAGTCATTGCTCATTTCTCCATCAACCATAACTCTATGCATTTCATTCCATCATGAAATAACTTTATCATGTTTAGAAATTTATGGGTGCAGCCACTCTTAAGTTGACTAATAGCAATATCAACTTTCTACTTAGTGTTCCATCCAGGCCCAAAATAAACTCTCTTGGTAGTGCATTTATAAAGTCCATGTCAGCCTTACTATCTGCATCAAGTACAGAGCTAAAGTGCTCTTGCCAGTGACCCAAGATCTCTGTCTTAGCTGTAAGTCTTCTACCAACTGACACTGATATCTTCTTGGTAAAGCCCAACACACTATTCATTTTATCGTGAAAGGCAATCATCTGGTGAGTATCGCTCATATTTTGCATTTCTGTAGCCTGTTCTTAAGCGTTCGAGTAAGATGCCTAACAAGCCTCATTTACACTGCGCCGAAGATTTATGTTCTGTCTACTATTTCCCCATTTTCGGAAAGCTTCTCGGTGTACGTTACGAACCAATCCTGATGGTGTCTTCTTGGCCTATCCAGCGTTTCATATGCCTAACTTACCCCTTGTATGATATATATTAGAAATCCTTTCTTATACTTGATTTTCTTCAAGGCCTGCTCATACTGCTCATAACTGCTCACACGTGCTCATCACCGCTTATAACTGCTTACACGTCCCTATAACTGATTACACGTGTCTCTGTTGGCTTCCATCTACCTCTATCTGCCTCTATTTGTTCTACCTACTTCTATTGGCTCATAACTGCTTCCATCTGCTTGCTTATGATCGTCTAAGTACCCAAACCCAGTCCTGGTTTCGAGGCCTAGCTATACCACTCCCATTAGTGGCAAGTTACAGGATAGACTATACTAGACCATCCTACATTCTATCTTTTGGAAGGTAATGCTCGAGGTAATGTTGTAAGTTATGGCAGTTTAAAGGTTTAATTGTTGGGTAAGCCCTTTTTTATTATCAACAATGTATTCTGATTCATGGGCAGCAGTTTAATAGGCAAATTGACAAAAAATGAATAATCATAATCTTACAAATTTTGACTTTATATAATAAGTTATTGTTCAAGTACAAATAAGTGAATTGTTGCAGAATTTATGGGTGGACCTCTGCGGGACGAGCGCAGCGAGTTCCGCAGCCATCTACTCACCAATATTTTGTTGAACTGTTCAAATAAGGCACTCACCTGAAATGAGTAGTTTTTAAACTAATGAGAATAATTCACATTTGAGTGAATTAGGTTAGTATCGTAATTACACAACATATTGATGAATAGATGGCCATAGAGGTCCACCCATAAGTTCCGCAACAATTCACTCGTTTGTACTTGAATAACTTATCGCAATATATTACTAGTTTAGTAAAGTAACATTACCTATTGCTGTTAAAGTATAGCCTAATTCCTGGATGAATAGATGTATATTTAGTTTATAGGTTAGTTTCATATAATATTAATCAGTACCTTTTATATTGAGCTCTATGATTGACTATTGGAACTATAGTAACTAGAGTATAACTTACGTATTTAGCTTTGCACCTCAAAACCTTTCATGGTATTTGTGTTTTTGATGCAAATTTGCATTATTTAATTTAATAATACTAGCTTGACTTGGGTAAACAGATGGCCACTTTTAAGTTTTAACATCAGCTGATGAATATTAATTTAGAAATGAATATAGGACACTTAGAGGACACATTTTATATTGCATTGTAGTAATTATAATACTTAAATAAAGAAACCTCATAGTGTTTACTTTGGAAAACTTTCAATTTTCAGAGTGTCAACGTTAGGGCTTCTTATTTTTAGTTAGGTTTGGCTATGAGAGTACTTTGGCTGTTTCCTGTTTTTGTATCTAAGAGCGGATACTTTCTTTCTGGAGGGCTAAAACAGGTGGCGTCTTATATAATGTATTATCCACGACCTCTCTACTGGAGAGTTAGCTGGCTGCCCTATAAGGAAGTACTTTAGTACAGTAATATTCCGTTGGCCACCTTCTGAGTTATAGTAATTCTGGTCCTGGACTGACAATAGTCTGGGCAAATTAGGATAAAAATCTATGTCACAAAATGCTTGTGACAAATTTTAATAAATTTTTCTTATGACAAATTGGCGCCCAACGTGGGGCGACGGATTTTTTTTATGACAAACTCCAAAATTCAAATGTTCACTTCTTCCATTTCAGAAACAAAAACGGAGCTTCCTGATCCTCACCATAGCGCTGCTCCTGATTCTCACAGCTCGCCTCCAAACGAAAACTCCTAGATTCTCAACAGCTGACAACCCTACGGCACGAGAACCAAGCTCCTCAACGAGATTCATGACTCTGAGCTACTTGCCTGCTCTCAACTTTCTGATGCTGCTCTACCCCAGCGCTCTGAGCTTTGATTGGGGCATGGACGCTGTTCCCCGAATCCAGAGTGTCCGAGACCCCAGAGTCTTTTTCACTTTGTGCTTCTATGCAGCGCTAATGGTGGCACTAGGGATTGGTGCTTCAAAATGGATGGATTATAAATCAGGTAATCATTAATCGAATTAAACTAGAATTATTACATAATATATTGTTTCAGGTTGTACAGTGTGCCAAAGAAGAAACTCAGATGTGCATTCGCATCACTGCAGGATGACCAACAACAACAATATTACAGTTCAGTGTCCGTGTCCAGCTCAAAAAATCACCTGGCGTGACGCTACAATATTCGCTCTATCCCTAATAATTTTACCATTTCTGCCCGCTTCAAATCTATTTTTCTATGTGGGTTTCGTTGTGGCCGAGCGGGTCCTCTACATACCGAGTGCGGGGTTTTGCCTGTTGATCGGAATCGCGGGGGCAAGATTGTGGAAAAATGGCACTGGAAGAGTGTATTTGAGTACCGGATTTGTTCTGGTGTTGACCGGGTTCAGTGCCAAAACGATTTTGAGGAATCGGGATTGGAGCTCAGAAGAAAATTTGTACAGAAGTGCCGTGCCTTACAATCCACCCAAGGGTAAGTGAACAAAATTATAAAGTTTTTCAATTTTTCATGTATACCTTCGAAGAAAGTTTTCTCGACAAAAATATTCCGGGTGCACAGTAAAAGTTTATGCATAACTTCGTGCATTATGGCAGATTTGCGATAAATTCTCTCGGCCGAAAAAAAAAAAAAAAGAAAAACTTTAAAAATTATGTGTAATACGGCTTACCGTCTAATTTGAAAGTATAATATTTTTTCGGGAAGTGTAATATAATACGTGAGGCGAAATTATTATAAAGTTGACTCAAGCCAGAGAGAGGGGATTTCGATTTTTAAATTATAAATTGGAGAAAGTTTCGGTTAAAATTTAAGGGAAAAAGTACTTACCATGTTATGGATTTGTTGCTCTATCTATATCGACCTGGAACATAAAAGAAAGTATATTATTGTATGTAGGTATGAGGTAAAACTGTTATAATCAATCAATCGGGGAAAGACCGATGTGGAATAGGGAAAAGTGTAAACTTTAAGGGCCTTGTTTCAACATTCACGATTTTAGAATAAAGACTGATGTGAAGAGTCTACTGATTAGAAATCTGAAGCCGAAATTGAACGAGCCTAGTTCGTAATTTGAGAGTGGGAAGGCTTGTTAGTTTTTGCACGTCTTAGACTTTCCCGCTTGTTGTCGAAAACAAATCATTCAATTTCCTATATAGGTACAGTTTTGTATATTTTCGTATGGTTCTCCATTTGTTCCGCAGCTATCTATTCAATATGTTGTTGTTGAGGTCCACCGACAAGTTCCGCAATAATTCACTTATTTGTACTTGAACAATAACTCATCATATAAGGTCAAAATTTGTAAGATTATGATTATTCACTTTTTGTCAATTTGCCTTTCAACAGGAATTAGTAATGTTACTTTACTAAACTAGTAACATAATGTGACAAGTTATTCAAGTACAAATGGATGAATTGTTGCGAAACTCATGGGTGGACCTCTGCGGGACGAGCGCAGCGAGTTCCGCAGCCATCTATTTATCAATATATTGTTTAATTACGATACTAACCTGACTCACTCAAATGTGAGTTATTCTCATTAGTTTGAAAACTACACGTTTCAGGTGAATGTCTTACTTAAACAGTTCAATAGTATATTGGTGAGTAGATGGCTGCGGAACTCGCTGCGCTCGTCCCGCAGACGTCCACCCATGAGTTCCGCAATAGTTCACTTATTTGTACTTGAACAATAACTTATTATATAAAGTCAAAATTTGTAAGATTATGATTATTCACTTTTTGTCAATTTGCCTTTCAACAGGAATTAGTAATGTTACTTTAATAAACTAGTAACATAATGTGATAAATTATTCAGATACAAATGAGTGAATTGTCGCGGAACTTATAGGTGAACCTCTGCGGGACGAGCGCAGCAAGATCCGCAGCCATCTATTCATCATTATGTTGTTTAATTACGATACTAACCTGACTCACTCAAATTTGAGTTATTCTCATTACTTTGAAAACTACACGTTTTAGGTGAATGTCTTACTTGAACAGTTCAATAGTATATTGGTAAGTAGATGGCTGCGGAACTCGCTGCGCTCGTCCCGCAGAGGTCCACCCATAAGTTCCGCAACAGTTCACTCATTTGTACTTGAACAATAATTTATTATATAAAGTCAAAATTTGTAAGATTATGATTATTCACTTTTTGTCAATTTGCCTTTCAACAGGAATAAGTAATGTTACTTTACTAGACTAGTAACATAATGTAACAAGTTATTCAAGTACAAATGAGTGAATTGTTGCGGAACTTATGGGTGGACCTCTGCGGGACGAGCGCAGCGAGTTCCGCAGCCATCTATTCATCAATATGTTGTTTAATTACGATACTAACCTGACTCACTCAAATGTGAGTTATTCTCATTACTTTGAAAACTACACGTTTTAGGTGAATGTCTTACTTGAACAGTTCAATAGTATATTGGTAAGTAGATGGCACCCATAAATTCCGCAACAGTTCACTCATTTGTACATGAACAATAACTTATTATATAAAGTCAAAATTTGTAAGATTATGATTATTCACTTTTTGTCAATTTGCCTTTCAACAGGAATTAGTAATGTTACTTTCCTAAGCTAGTAACATAATGTGGCAACTTATTAAAGTACAAACGAGTGGACTGTTGCGGCACTTATGGGTGGACCTCTGCGGGACGAGCGCAGCGAGTTCCGCAGCCATCTATTCATCAATATATTGTTTAATTACGATACTAACCTGAATTACTCAAATGTGAGTTATTCTCATCAGTGTGAAAACTACATGTTTCAGATGAATGTCTTACTTGAACAGTTCAATAGTATATTGGTGAGTAGATGGCTGCGGAACTCGTTGCGATCGTTCCGCAGAGGTTCACCCATAAGTTCCGCAATAATTCACTTATTTGTACTTGAACAATAACTTATTATATGAAGTCAAAATTTCGAAGGTTCTTTTCTTCGTTGCTCATATTCATATTTCTATAACACTGACAAAGCCAAAGCAATCGTTTTCATGAGAATATGGTTCCCCGGTTTCGGCGGTTTCGAGCATAGACATCCAGAAGAAATTTCAGTTTATACATAAAATCTTTCTGTGGTAAGATATCTTTGATTATAGTCATTACGAGTTTGTTCGTATGCCATTTGGTCCGAAAAACGCCCCATCAACATTTTAGGTAGATAACGTTGTTTGATTTACTTTGAAAAACGGTATGGATTGGATTCGTCACAAATATCAAAATTTGTGTAAACCACAATCTATAAGAGTAAATTCCGCCTATATGTAAATAATCAAAAGCTCGGCCATTGATGATAATAGGCAGAGAGAATGATGGCATAGAAGGAAGACAAAAACTTGGCAGATATGTTTCAAGGGCTTCAAAATTTCCTTTCAAGTGCGGCTAGATCAATCGGTAAAGTCCTTGTTAGTTAACAAAAACCTTAAACTATTTCAATGTCAGTATACTAGTGTTTTTGTGTGGCACAATCTAAGGTTATTGTTTGTTAACAAGGACTTAACTAACGATTGATCTCGCCACACTAAGATAACTAAATATCTCAAAATGAAAAAAAAAATATCAAAAAATGACTGACTGGATTTGTCACAAATATCGAAAAGATACAATTTGTGGGGGTCTTGCTATCAGGGTCCTTATTCTTAAAATAGGAGGGCAGCGTTCTTATGAGAACGGAGGTTCCTTTCTCCGTCGCTCATATTCATATTTCTATAACACTGACAAAGACAAAGCAATCGTTTTCATGATAACACGGTTCTCCGATTTCGAACATAGACATTCAAAACAAACATCAGTATATACATAAGATCTATCTGGCTTAAGATATCTTTGATTATTGTCAATTAAATTTGTTCGTATGCCATTTGGTCTCAATACGCCCCATCAACATTTCACTAGAGAAGAACTTTTTTCAAATGGGATGCCCTATATTTAATAATATTATGTCTCCGGGACGTCTTTGCTTCTCCTTGATACCAATTATTTATTAAAAAAATCAAAAACAATTCGCATTATTTTACGATGCAAGATCAGTTCCACGTCCATAAACTCTCCTTAAAACGACTGTCCGACCGTAAAACCTTTTGCATCATGAAAAATTGAAAAAGTTTCTCGGTTCGCATTTCTTCACCTATTTATTATAAAAAACCCGAAGTTGCCGCTCATATTTATCGCCGTCTTTCACATAGTTATAGGCTTCAATTATATTGGTACGCGAACAAAAAGCTCCGCTCTATCATCATTTATCATTTGGAGCTGTCAGCAAATATAATATTTCCAATTGTATAAGAAAATTCAGGTTAATTCCGAGCCATTTAGTATTTTTTCCATTTTCGAAAATGTCTCTCGCATAAAACATTTTATTAAGCCACATTAAAAGCTTTACAAATGGATGTTCGTGATCACGGTCTGATGTTCGGGGATTATTTCATGCAAATCGGCGTGTGCATATACGAATTTTATTTTTCGAATAATGAAGTTTTTTTTTTGCGTTTTGCAGCATACGGCAATCTTGGCAGCATATTGAATGCTAAGGGACGCATCGACGAGGCGGAACAATCGTTCCGGAAAGCTTTGGAATATCGCCCGAATATGGCCGACGTTCATTACAACCTGTAAGTACTTGAATATATCATATATGTCAAATGTTCGGTACGATGTATAGTGTGAATCATGCCTAAACAATTTGAAATTATTTGATATCGGGTTTTCATTCGGGTTTAATGGCCGTCATAAGTGGCTTCAGAGAGGTGCTTTTATGTCCGATTCTGGTAGCAGACTGATGCGTTACCGACCGCAAGTTGTATTTATGTGCGACTGGCTGTGGTGGGGGAGGGGCGGGGCTTCGCGGCACGTGGCTAATCTCAACTTTTTCTGTACTCAATGGGATCTTTCTTGTGTTTTTGAGGATCGTGATCCAGATTTGGTTAAGTTTTAGTGTTTCTTCTCGGGAACGCATCAGTCTGCTACCAGAATTGGACATGGAAGCATCTCTGAAGATGCTAAAGAAATTCCAACTTACGACGACCATTAAGCCCGAATGAAATCCCCTGGGCCGCGAAAGCCTCACAAATTTTATCAATTTGAAATTAATTTAAAATAGCCTAATGTAATAATTCTGGTGTAAACGTTTGTCTGACGCAATCCGATTTTTAATTTTTCGCTGATTAATTGTTCAACAAGCCGCACACACATATAATTTCGAATGTTGTTTGTCCGTCAGCGGATTATGCAGATTTCCCAGCTACATAACCGATAATTTATTTTTATGGGGCTCGTTTGGTCGAACTAAATGCTTATTTGAAACATATTAACGGTGATTTATCGATTAATCGATGCAAATGAAACTTTTATTACGAAAATCAGACTCCCAACTAAAAGGTCAAACTTTGATAATCCACTCCGGATTCTCCCCCTTACTGGTTCGGTTCTCTTTAATCCGGAGAGAGTATCGGAATTATCGCACTACACTCTACAACTTTACGTTGGGCTAATTACTGAGAAAGTTCGCGACTTGATCCAGAGAGGATCAGGAGTTTGGGGCTTAAGATGAGAGGGGAAATACATACACTCGATTGGTTTTGTATCGGATTAACTTAAGTTTTTATATTGAATGCTTAATTCCTCTTACAATATTGAAATCGATCATAAACTTAAAGTTACCCGACTAGAATTTAATGAACGGTGAATTTAATGGATATTGTTTCCAGATTATTCCAATTTTATACCTCAATGATAATTATTAAATTTTCAAAGCTGCTGAGATTCAATTTGAAACTTCAAACGAAATTGGGTATCATCGAAAGTGGGAATTAGGCTAACTCACAACAGGGCAAAGTAAACTTTCTCATTATTAAAACTTGATTTATAATTAATTACTTACAAAGTAAAATCGATAGTTTCGTAGATGCCTATATATTTACTGGAGGTAATTGAATTAAGCTTTCATAATAGGGATAGAAGAATTCGAATAATTTCGACGTCGAATTTTATCTGCAGCATCGCTCCCTAGAATTTATTTCAATTTAGCGGAATTTTACGGCACGAATGCCGAAATAAAATTGGCGCTAGTAAAACTTCAAGCTCTATGTAAAACGCATATAAAATTGTGGTTTTGTTACAATTTGAGAACAAATCACCTCGCTATAATTCTGTTTTCATTTAAGGGACAATTTCTTTGTAAACTCACTGTCTTTTAAAAGGATCAGAATACGTTCCGGATCCGTTGACCCCTTTTATCTAGGAAAACCAGAAAGCTTAATGAACGCTCGACTGGAGACGATAATAAACTGTAGAGTTTCACTACTCTTTTCCGTCTTTTACCGATCCTATAAAGGACCTTTTTCTTCTTGTTTTATTGTAGTAAATTAAGTTTATTTTGAAGTACCTGAACTGGCAAGAAATTGATTCAATGATTCTTTTAACATTGAAAATGTTCATATTATGGCACGGGCACGTAGTGTGGGGTACCAAATTCGAAATTTCTATGTTGAATTTGTCCTAAATCGTAGTCCAACTGCCAAAAAATCGCATAATGGCTGACGATGAAAACCGACAAGACAGAACGTAGTGTGTGTGAGCCCTTAAGACAAGGGAACAGAACAAATTATAAAGAAATTAACAAGTGGGCAGAAGTGGCAGTCAAGAACACTGCCTGTATATTGACACCCCACCTACAGCCTTTACCTTTACAGGTAAAAAAAAGGTGTAAATACAAAAGTTCTACAGTTTTGGCTAAATTTTTAGAATCCATGAAATATTGCATGTTTCCAGCTTTTTTGAAATGGGATGCCCTATTCAAATTTTGTTCCTGACCATGGATTCTAAAAATTTAGCCTAAACTGTACAACTTTTGTATTTACATTTTTTATCTACTTGTAAAGGTGAAGGCTGTAGGTGGGAGGAAAATATATAAAAAAACATCCTGTACTTGAACAATAACTTATTATATAAAGTCAGAATTTGTAAGATTATCCACTTTTTGTGAATTTGCCTTTCAACAGGAATTAGTAATGTTATTTTACCAAACTAGTAATATAATGTGACAAGTTATTCAAGTATAAACGAATGGATTGTTGCAGTACTTATGAGTGGACCTCTGCAGGACGAGCGCAGCGAGTTCCGCAGCCATCTACTCACCAATATACAGTTGAACTGTAAATAAGAACTCACCTGAAACGTATACTTTTGAAACTAATGAGAATAACTCACATTTGAAAGAGTTAGATATTGATGAATAGATGATGAATAGATGGCTGCGGAACTCGCTGCGCTCGTCCCGCAGAGGTCTACCCATAAGTTCCGCAACAATCCACTCATTTGTACTTGAATAATTTGTCACATTATGTTACTAGTTTAGTAAAGTAACATTATTAATTCCCGAACAAAAGCAAATTGACAAAAAGTGAATAATCATATTCTTATAAATTTTAACTTTATATAATAAGTTATTGTTCAAGTACAAATAAGTGAATTATTGCGGAACTTATGGGTCGACCTCCGCGGGACGAGTGCAGCGAGTTCCGCAGCCGTCTATTCATCAATATGTTGTTTAATTACAATACTAACCTGACTCACTCAAATATGAATTATTCTCATTAGTTTAAAAACCACACGTTTCAGGTGAATGTCTTACTTGAACAGTTTAAAAGTTTATTGGTGAGTAGATGGCTGCGGAACTCGCTGCGCTTGTCCCGCAAAGGTCCACCTATAAGTTCTGCGATAATCCACTTATTTGTACTTATAAAATATTATAAAAGATAATATTCAAAAAAAAAATAAAAAATGTTATGAAAACAATACAAAGTATTCAAGAAGCAGTTGGGAAAATGCAATTTAAATTGGTAAAAAATGATGTCACTGTTAATTTGGAATATGTTGTTGAAAAAGCAATGAAAAATGTTATTGGAAATCAACAAAATGTTATGCCAACTTATGCTCTGGTTACCACTAATCCATCAAAAACTGGTAATAATTTTAATAATAATTTGGGACAAAATATTGTTAAACAAAATAAATATAAAGTTGTCATCTATCCGAAAAATGGTACTAGTGAAAATTCAGAAGATACTAAAAAAGCCCTTTTAAAATTAAATCCAAAAATTCTTGGTGTTAAACCAGAGAGAATAATTAAAGTAAAGGACAAAGGAGTATTAATAGAATCATCTGATCCAAATATAACAAAATTAAAAGAATCAAAATATTTGAATGATGCAAATTTGGAAGCACATTTACCAGAAAAAAAGTGGCCACGAATTATTATATTTGGAGTTCCAAATGACTATACTCAAACTGAATTTATTTCCGAAATTAATGAAAATTTTAAATTGGAAGGAAAATGGCATAGGGAAATTTTGCATTAGTTACTGAAAATGAATTGGACAATTTGGTAAAAAATTTGAAAAATAAAGCACCAGGACATGATAAAGGTAATTTTATTAAAGCAATTTATACAGTAATTAAAAGAATTTCTCCTAAAAATATATAATGCATGTCTTTAAAATTGTTATTTTCCTGAATTATGGAAGGAAGGAAATCTTCATGTGCTATTGAAGGACCAAAAAGGTTGTCAAAATAATCCAAAAAATTATCGACCAATTACTTTATTATCAGAATTTGGAAAAAATTATGAAAAAATTATAAAAAACCGTATATATAATTTATTTCCTAGGTTATATTCGATAAAACAATTTGGTTTTATACCTGGCTCTTATCAACAGTAAATGCATTAAGAAAATATACTGAAATAATAGAGGAAAGTAGAAGTAAATATATTATTACAATTTTTATAGATATTTCGAGAGCGTTTAATAATCTTTGGTGACCTGAATTATTTTCAAATATACAACAACAAAATTTTCCACATAATATTATGTCTATTATTAATTCTTATTTAAAAAATAGAACAGTAAATTATAAATAAGGTACAATCGAAGTTAGTAAAAATATATCTATGCCCTCAAGGTTCTGCATTGGGTCCAACATTATGGAACATTTTATTAGATGGGTTTTTGAATAAAGATTTTAATGAAAATATAAATATATTAGCGTTTGCAGATGATATTGCAATTATTGTTCAACATGATTTACGTCAAGAAATGTTGAATATTGCAAATAATTCAAGAACAATTAATTGATTTAAGGGGAATGAAAAATTTAAAAATCTTTAAAATTACATATTAGGGAGGAAATAAATATAATTTGGCAAGAAAGATGGGATAATTCAGAAAAGGGTAGAATCACACATAATTTTATACCATTAGTACCTTTAATACAAAAAAAAAGCGATTTTTATTCTTCCCAAATTTTGACTGGACATGGACCATTTAAATTACATTTGAAACGGATAGGGAAGGCAGAAAATAATTTTTGTAATAATTGTCCAAATATAACTGACGATCCATTGCATAGGATTTTGCAATGTCCTAAATTTGATGAGGCAAGAATGAATCTTATACCTGAATTTGTTTTTTGGCCACCTACACCAGAAGAGATTGTTAAAAAATTGTATTTGGAAATTTTTCAACAATTTCTTCAGGACTAAATACTTTAATAAATTAAAAAACCGTTTTATATTTTCTGAAATAAACACTGCTAAATTATTTTAATGAATTTA